TTGAAATACTAAGCATAAGTATACGAAACGAGAACGGAAATCAACTCTTACCTCCACATCTTGTATAATAATATTTATGTATACAGTAAATATTTATCAAGGAATATAAAATTTTCTTTAACAAGTTATTGTGAGGTCTCTCTTTAGCGAGTCCTTAAACACGTACTTAGTGTGCTGATGTGTTAATCCACCCCTGCTGCCGAATCTATTAATGGTGCTTCCTAGAGCTTTCTGCAAGTGATATTCTCATGAGATACAGACTGCGACCTAATTGCAAAATTAGGCAAAGCACTTTCATGTCCCTACAACTACAAAATGCTAAAGAAATTAATTATTTATAAAACTGAGAGAAACATGACACTACTGGTTTTTCACACCTAAAATTTGAAATCGACACTTGAATTGTATTTAAAATCGGTAAACGAGATGAAAATCTCGAAAACGATACACCTAATTTAGTGCACGATGTTTATTCACGAAATTGTTTGTCAATAAGCATAGCGATTTCAGCAACAAATTAAAGAGACATATCACTCAAAATGTATCGTTTCGTGTTTCAACTTTCAGTATAATGTTTCTATTTTGCACAGTAGCCTGCTACTATCACGGAATGTAAACACGTCATCAATCATACGTAATTACATAGTTTTAACGCAATTGGCAACAACCGGCAGGGCTATCAACACTCTAAAACAATTCCAAATCATCCCAAAAAGATCATTTATGTTCCGAATGCGACACTGTATGTATAATTGGTATTTTATAAAAGCATTGTTTATGAATCAATTTACCTCAATATTCCTCTGGAAACTGGGAAGTTTCCAAACCAACAAGTAAACTGAAATAAAATCACGAATTCCCCGTTACAGCCAACAATGCCAGAGAGTACGAACCAAAGGCACCGCCATGGCGGTGATGTACGTCGTGATGACCTCCATGGAGGAATGGTGCGAGCGGAACTGCCAGCTCGAGCGCCGCAGCGGCGGCCTGTCTCGTGCGCGTGCCGGCGCTCAGCTGTTTGCTGACTCGGCGGCCGTCGCTTGTCGACACAGCGCCACGTCACCGTCACCGCCGCCCCGTCTGTTTCTAGCCGGGTGATTTCCCTCCCACGCGTTTGTAAATACTCTCTTAGACAGCGCGGAAGCGGAAAATACAGGTCTGGACTTGAATGAGGGTGGGCGATTTCCAGTTATCCGAATTAAATGGGAATCTAACCGTTTCCGGTATGCGGAAACACGGATGATCGATTAAAGCTAAAAAAGAACGACTTGAGATGTAGAAAAACTTCAGTTCATGAAATTAAGTTTATTATAAGATACAGTCATGTAAAATGTTTACTTGATATATTAGAAAAGATTATAATTAATATAATATTAATAAGAATAGATTGTACTAATCGAGTGATTTTGTGGCAAAAAATAAATCTTAAAATCACTGCCAGTATAAATGAATACTTATATAATTACTTAATTCAACAATTCAAGAATTCGTATCAACCTGTTAGTGAGTTATACTTCAAACCTAACGGAGGTATGAAGACTACGGAGTCATTATCACATCTAAAATTTCACCTAAACTGAACAAGAGAAAAGAGTAACCTTGTCTCCAATCGATGCACAAATAAATCAAGAATCCTAATTTGAAGATGGCGTTAAAGTTGTATTGACTGAAGCCATCTTAGTGATAATACAGGATCAATCCTTAAAATTAAGAAATGAATGTTTCAAAATATATAAATATGATTTACTGACTATTAAATATTTGATTGACTGATGACTTTCGCCTTATAAATGGTATGTATTCTATAGGACTACATTTGGTTAATAATTTTCAAGATAATAATAGACAGCGGATTTGTATTAAGTCACATTTCTCCTTAACCCATATCTGATTATGAAATTCATTGGAACATGTTTCTTGACATTCAGGCAATGAGCATTCCGATTTCTTAAGATAGAATCCAATTAGTGCAAGTGAACAATACGGCATTCTAAAAGAGCGATCGGAATGGTAAACAGGACCGGCGAACGAGCCCACCTGAGCAAGAACCCGCGCGTAAGTAACCAGCCTTCCGCGTCTCGGGCAGAAGCGCGTCCGCTGCGTCCGCTGCAGGGTCGGTCGTTGTATTGTCTACGCGCCGCAAGGTTACGCAGTCACGGGCAGCGGCTTCGGCGCTCGCGGAGCGCGCAAGGTTTGTTTGGCCGCTCGACCCCGCACGCGCTGCGTCGTGCGCTGTGCGATGTTGTTCCCTTGGGGCATGCTCGCCGCCTGGCCGGGTGCTCAAGCATGGCCACGTGGTATGCAAATGAAGGCTGTGTATGTATGTTCACGAATGTATTCGTGAATGTATATTACGAATTGAAGGACTTCGGGCCGTTGCCCACCAGTTGGCCACAGCTAATATCTTTGAAACGGTTTGAGGTATCGGGATGTGTTAAGTTACTGAGTATTATGGGATAAATAACATATTTCGTTTTCTACGTGTCATTTTTTCTTTTTAATTTTTGAGATATTGACGAAAATTTGATTTTTCGAAAAGAAAGTATATATTTTTCTACCACCGTTCAAAATACTCGAAGGGACGAATACATTGATATACGTTTTGTTTGAATTTGGAACATCTGGAAAGAAACTAGAAAAAAAATGAATTCTACATTTTCTCAGGCATTTTTCCGAGGGTTTCCGCAACGGGTTTTCGGAAGGCGGAAAGAGTCTGGCCTTTGCTGGTGCACCGCTCTCTAGATAGAAATCAAAATTGAAACTTTGTGTGTTTAAATGTAACAATACTTTTTTGCATTGCTTTCTTGCTTTGATTTCTCACTTCCATGTACGTCTATACGTCCAATACTTTCTGTATTGGCTTCAAGCATAGCAAACATTCTTTATTACGAAGTCGAGTAGTAAGAGAATAAAAGTAATGTTCTATTCCATAGTAATGTATTTATGAACATAATAGAGAGGTGCAGTGTGAAATTCACACTTTACTTAGACTAACTCGTATGTACTCGTATGCAAATTTTAACAATGTTTTACAGTAACATTTGTAAGGTTTGTAGATCATTCAATTATTGCGTTGTCGCATTCCTAGGTTCTTCTGGCTTTGATAATTCATCAATTATTTTCCACTGAAACCTACGTACAACTATCCATCTCCAGTACCAATGTCATTAAAATTCGAAATGCACGGTACCCTTCCTTTTCCGGTACAAATTTCATGATCAGTTTGTTACAGATTAAATTAATTTTAGGTTACTAACAAATATTTAATTAATCATCACATCACTCCACGTCACTTGTACGGCTCGGAATCTCTTAACGTACGCTTGGCCGAGTGTACAGTTGGCACACGAGAGCGAGGTCGCGCCCGAAGAGGTAAAACAAAATGCGACACGGAGAAGGTCAAGTGCATTTCGGCCAAAAAGTAACACTCCTTGGGAACTAAAAGTTACATACCGAAGAGTCAAAGCATGATTATAATCACTTTCTGATTACCTTAATTGTTTGATCACAAATGCACTCCATTGAACAATATGATCACTAATTTTACTCTCTCAGAGAAAAAAAATCTGCCAGTAACATAATAGTGGTTTTTTGATGTTATTATCGTAACACTTTTCTATGTAATACATTATAATAGAACAATAAAAAGATCTAATATCATAATACAATATTTGAAATGGTTTGCATTTATATATTTTATTATTGTATTTATCAAAATTTTAAAAAAATATACAAACGAATTAGCATACAGACCATGAACAGGAAGAGGAGAAGAATAACGACAAAAAGAAGAAAGAGGGGAAAGACAAGACGAAAGAGGACAAGCAAGACTAGGAGAAGGAGAAGTGATGAAAAAGAAGAAAAGGAGGGAAGAAATATGAAAGAGAAGGAACAGTAGAAAAAGGAGGAAAGTAAGATGAAGAAGGAAGAGAAAAAGCTCCGGAGGGATGGGAAGGAAGGAAGGAAGGAAGGAAGATGAAAGAATAGAAGAAGAAAGGAGGTCAGGGTGGAAAAGAAAATAGGGGAGAAAAAGGAAGAGAAGAAAAAAGGAAGACAAAAAATTAAAGAAGAATGCGATGAATAAGAAAACAGAGAAGTAGGATAAGAAGGTAAAGAAGATGAAGAAGAAGACAAAGAAGAAAAGAAGATGAAAAAGAAAGCTTTCGACTGAACCCAAATCGCTGTGTTAACGAATCATATAATCCCAACATTCATATTTGTCGCTAACGAATCCCAAACAGCCTGCATATTTAACACATTACACCTACCAAAGTAAATAAGTACGTGGATATGAAAATGGAAAGTATGCGAACCGCGCAAGAAGGCTAAGTAGGAGGGAGGGAGGGAGAGAGGCACTCACCAGGCGCTCGAGCAGCTCCAGGTCGAAGATCTCCTCGATGACGAGCTCCTCGTCGCGCACGCGCACGGTGTCGCTGGAGCGGCGGCGCTGCGCCTGCAGCTGCGTCTGGCTGACGGTGCGCAGCGCCACGCCGAAGCGGCCTGCGCGGGGCGACTCGCCGCCCGCGGGCGCCGGCGCGGGCGTGTCCTTGCGCGGCGAGCCCGGCCGCCGCGTCGGCGACGACGCCTCCTTGCGAGTTGGTTCGCGCGGGACCGAATCCTTGCGCGACGGGACGGACTCTTTGCGGACGGGGGCCGTCTCGGGAACGGAGTCCTTCCTGGTGGGGAACGAATCCCGGCGAGTGGGAACCGACTCCTTACGGACAGGCGAGGTCCTAGTTGGGGAGCTTTCCCTCGGAATCGAGTCTTTTCTGGTGGGGAACGAATCGCGACGTGTGGGAACCGACTCCTTCCTCACCGGTGAGGTCCTGGTAGGTGAGCTTTGTCTTGGAACAGATTCCTTCCTTACGGGGAATGAATCGCGACGTGTGGGAACTGATTCCTTCCTCACCGGAGAGGTCCTGGTAGGTGAGCTTTCTCTTGGAACCGATTCCTTCCTTACGGGGAACGAATCTCGACGTGTGGGAACTGACTCCTTCCTCA